TGTGGCTCCCCCCGGGGGGACTCCGTGACACGTTCCCTGAGGTTCTGGCTCTCTCCCGGGCAAGCTCACAGATTGCAGCCTCCCCCCAGGCACCATGCCAGAGGTGCTCCTGCTCAGGTCTGCCAGCTCCATCTTGAGGACCGAGTAAGGAACAAGGAACCCACCGTCTCCCACCTCCCAGCTCCCAGACAGTCTCCCAGGGAAAGTAGTTGGCAGGGAACCTGGACCCCCAGACTTGGGTTTGGGGTTTTTTATTCTGTTGGTCACCTTCTCAATCTTGCCAAATTATCTTTTTCTTCTTGCCCCCAAAGCTCCATGAAAGCCCATGGGTAATAATGATGAGAGCTGAGTGTGTACCAAGCACTTCTCATATATCGCCTTCTCTTTGCGATAGCCACAGGATACAGGCAGAAAACTGAGGGCCAGAGAGGAACCATGACTCGGCCACGGTAACTCAGCTAGTAAAGTGAGCTGAGCCCAAGCAGGCAGACAGACTGGTGAACTTCGATGCTATCCTGTTTCAAGAAAGCATTCATGGAGCACCTACTGCATACATGAGAGTGGTCTGGTTGCTGAAGGCTGAGTGAGAAGAAAGGGCAACAGAAATAAATAGGAAATGGATCCTCATCCATGAAGCATTCACCTGGGAAATGAGGGTCCTCCTCAATGTATGTGTCACACACATAGTGACAACTTGAGAAGGGTTAGGTCTAATCAACATATACTGAGCTCCAACAGTGGGCAGAGAATAGAGCTGAATCAGACGTGGCCCCAGCTCTCAAGCCATGTGTGACTGTCAGAGCCCAAACCTGAGTTTCCAAGGGCCATAGGGATGAGAGGGTGTTGGGGAAATCTAGGGGGGCTTCCTGGAGGAGGAGTTGAAGGAGGCTTGGAAGGCTCTGTGTTCAAATGGTCCCATCAGCTCTTCTGGCAAGGTAGGAGTAAAGAAACACCAATCCACCAAGAGATGATTAAGAGAACGGTGTAGTGCAGACGTTCCCAGGCTCCTCTGCACCCTCACACACATCTTACATTACATTTGCCCAAACACGCCCTTTGCTTTCTTGCTCCCATGCTGCTGGGTAGGTGCTGATAAAGCGTTTTTGTTTTTGTTTTTGTTTTCTGTGAAAGGAGAGCAAGGCAATGAGTTTCAAGTGTGCTTCTGTGAGCTGAGGGCAGAGAACAATTCCTTGTCCTCATCTACAAGGACGGTGAAAGAGGGCCGTCCTTGTAGGCTCTTCTTCCTCCTGGGAATTCAAAATGCAGACAGAAGCCAGTCAGCCTCCTCAGTCCATTCTCCCACCATTATTGTCATTCGATCATGTTAGGTGACTTCTGCCAGCCTCTGGAGTGCTGCCTTCCAGGAGGAGCATACTTTTCCAGAATGATGGGAATAACATGTTAGTCACCTTCGGGGCGCTTGTGATGAACACCATGACAGCAGTGTCAACTCACCTGTAGATCAGCTGCGGCCACCTGTCCTTCCTGGAATGGCAGCAAGAGTCAGGAGAAGGGTCCAACACACTTTTGAGGAGCCAAACAGAGTAGGGGCGGCTCCCCAATTTTCTTTGAGGAACGCGTGATAGGTCCATCATGGAACATGTCCTCCAGTGTAAGTTCTAACGAGCTTGGCTGTTTTGTTTTCTACTCTGTTACAAAAAGAAATGGGAATGTAGGAGTGAGATGAGTGTCTAGAAGCCAGCACACACTGAAAGTAGGAAGACTTTCAGCAGCAGACTTCGACAGCTAGTCACATAGGAGACGATTATAAACCAAAAAATGGCCGAGCATGGCGGCTCACGCCTGCGATCTCAGTACTTTGGGAGGCCAAGGCGGGAGGATCACTTGAGCCCAGGAGTTGGAGACCAGCTGTTACAACATAGCAAGACCCTGTCTCTACAAAAAATACAAAAATTATCCAGGTTTGGTGGTGTGGGCCTATGGTCCTAGCTACTCAGGAAGCTGAGAGGAGAGCGTTGCTGAGCCCAGGAGGTTGCAGTGAGTGGTGATTGTGCCCCTGCACTCCAGCTTGGGCGACAGAGCAAGACCCTGTCTGCAAAATATAAATAAACAAATATAGTAAATACGGCTAGGCATCGTGGCACATGCCTGTAATCCCAGCACTTTGGGAGACCGAGGCAGGCAGATCATGAGGTCAGAAGTTCGAGACCAGTCTGGCCAACATAGTGAAACTCTGTCTCTACGAAAAATACAAAAAATTGCCGGGTGCGGTGGCTCAAGCCTGTAATCCCAGCACTTTGGGAGGCCGAGGCAGGTAGATCACGAGGTCAAGAGATCGAGACCATCCTGGTCAACATGGTGAAACCCCATCTCTACTAAAATACAAAAAATTAGCTGGGCATGGTGGCACGTGCCTATAATCCCAGCTACTCAGGAAGCTGAGGCAGGAGAATCGTGTGAACCTGGGAGGCGGAGGTTGCAGTGAGCTGAGATCGTACCATTTCGCTCCAGCCGGGTGACAGTGTGAGACTCTGCCTCAAAAATACATACATACATAGAATATAAAAACTGAAAAACAACCATTACCAACAGCAAGTGTGAGACAGCAGTCACGACGAGCAGAGGCAGATGGCCCCAGCAGTTTCACTTACTTCGGTGTGACAAGTCAGGTCAGGAAACCTGTTACTAGTTATAACCCTGAGTGAGCAGGAAAAAGCTACTGGAGGTTTACCACGTTCTATTTCAGATGACATTTCCTTAAAGGAACTACCTCTCAAAGCCCCTAGTAAGGAAAAGATCAAGCTTAATTCATTTGGAAAATTAGGTTTTGATCTTCTCTTAATCATGCACCCCAAATTCTGTAAGCATAGGGCATAGAGAGTTGAATAAGCGCCTTGGGCCAGCTGCAAGGAGCAGAAAGGCTTTCTTGTTAAACAGATGCTGGAGAGGGCCAGGGACCACCCTCTTATTGAACGATTGTTGGACAAGATCAGTGTCTGAGCAGCAAGGAATCTGACACTGGGTGCTGGCCCTCCAGGAAAAGGCACCCACCCACAGCGAGAAGGTGGTTCCAACAGCCTCACCTCCCTACAAACAGAAGGTTCTAATCACGATGAGTACGCTTCACCCTTGGCTTCCTTCGGTGACTGTCTTTTCATTTAGTCTTTGTGTAGTTATTTTAAAACCAGAACCTGTTTACACTCATTTTATTGTGGGGACAGAAATGCTGCCAGTACCTTTTAATAAGGAGGATTTAAAAGCAGGTTTGTTTGTGAGGACGCAGTGTACATGGCGGGAGATGACAGCCAAGGACAGTCTCCTGCCTGGCTAATGTGGAGGTGGCTGCCCGGCTGGTGATCTCAGAGGTGTATGAGAGCTGCTAACTCTAACGTGGGGTGCTGTCCACCCTGCTGTCTACCATCTTCTGAGGACACAGGCCAAGATGCGGCAGGGGCATCCACCAAGTTCACAGTCTTCCCCAAGATGATCACGGGGTGGGCCCCTGAGCCTAGCTGCGTGCGTGTCCCTCGTTTGCCGTCACTGCCTGAACCCAGAGCTCAGGGGCGGTTTGGTAACACTGCAGCCCCAAGTGGAAGCTGCTTCTACCTTTGGATCCAAAGTCGGTAGGATGAGTTCCGCCGCGTTCAGGCGCCTCTGTCTGCCCAGAGCAGGTGGCCTCGCCCCATAAGCCCACTTTGCCAGCCCTTCAGTTTTTCCCCAACCTCCCTGGAGTAGGTTGCCACAGCAATGGAAGGGCTGCTCCAGCCCGGTGGCCCAGGCCTGGCTCACAGATTTCCCAAGAACAGCGCCATTTCGGTTCCCCAGTCATCCCTCTCCTCCCCATAACCCTCTCCTCCCTTCATAACCTTCTGATATCTTTCGCTTTAAAACCCATCTCAGGTTCTTAAACAGACTGCTGCCAGGTGGGCCTGGTTTTGTTCACAAACTTAGTTTTGTTCGGAACCTGCAGTACCGACAAGGAGTAAGGCGGTGTGTGAGAAGCAGGTAATTGACCCGGCTTCCTGGGAGCTGGGCGGGGGTGCGCCAGCCCCACCCTGACTGACAGACACACAGGACTCCCTGGAGCCGTGGTCCTACCCTCAGGGACACTGACCAGCTGCACAGGTTGCATGCTGCACAACCCCAGCGGATTTGGCATTTACATAGTTGACTGTGAAATGCGTCTCTGGAGTTGTGTCATCCTGCGACTCTGTGCAGTCTTGAAGTGTGTGCTACAATCCATCAGCTCTGCCATTAGGAGGTTGAGGTCTGGCCAGGTGAACCCCAAGGAAAAGTGGTGCTGAAGGGCAGTCAGGCTGAGATGATAATCAAAGCCCAGAGACCCATGAAACTCATGGGCTGGCCAGAAGGAGAGACCCTTTAGCCGAGTCACCAAGCCTGGGAGGCCAGGGGTCTGGGCCAGGAGTGAAGCCAGGAAGCACTGGGCCTCAGGTCTCCCTGAACCCGTGCCTGTCTTCTCCATGGAGACAGCAGACGTGGTGTGCACCCACAGGGCCATGGAAGAGGGGAGGCCCTCACTGGGGGCCTGAATAGGACCCCTGAGAGCCCTAGGAGTACCTGCAGCTCCGCTCAGAGTTTCAGGGCATGAGTGCGGACTGGTGGGTGCAGGGAGTGACAGGTGGGGGCAGCCCCGCCCCCAAAGCCTGCCCTTTCCAGGAGTGGGGTTCAGAATCCTCCAGTGCAGACCTCAGCCCCTTTCTCGTCCAGGTGGGGACGCTGAGACCCCGAGAGAGGCATGAGCTTGCCCAGGGTCACACGGTGACATGAAGCACAGCAGGGCTGGACTCCTCTTTCTCCCGAGCCCTCAGAACCTACAGGGAGGCTGGGTGGGGGCAGGGTCAGCTGCTACAACCGCTGAGGTCTTGTCCCCTGACTCCCACTGGGGCCTCCTCTGTGGATGGCCCCAGCATGTGCAGGAGACAGAGAGGCCAGTGGCCCCTGAGGGTGCTGAGATGTGTGCCAGGCCAGAGTCCCCGAGCCCAGGTCAGTCCCCCACGTTCTAATGAATGTTTTTCCAGGGCCTTCCACCAACCCAGCTCGCTGACTGACGGGCAGCCGCTCTCCAAAGAGTCCCTGAACCATGCTCTCGAGTTTTCCGTGCCAGAGAAGGTACACAAGGCCCACTGGGATGCTCCAGGTAAGCCAGCTGGGGGCTGTGGGTGGGGCAGAGCGGGAAAGTAGGCTGTGCTGAGTGTGCTGGAGGGGTGGGGGGGACCACCACACAGAACTGCGGAGAGGAGCAGCTGGGGAATCTTGCTGCTTTCCACACTCCACCAAGCCCCCTCCCTCATGGCCACCACCAGGGCCAGGTGTGATGGAAAGCAATGGGGGTGGGGAGATCTTTTTCCTTCGAGAAAGTTGGGAAGGAGCACCCTGTGCTCGGATCTCCAGCACAGGGTGGCTGAAGGACAGGAGGAAGCCCAGGTAAACAACACCTTGGGATTTTGGGGCCTGATTAACTGGGGTGAGGAGCAGGCAGATGGCTGCAGGCTAGAAAAGTTTGTTTTGGAGCCTTGAAACATCGCATGTTCTTTTCTTGATCTTCACCATCAGATAATTGTGCCTCAAGGAAGGCAGTTATTTACTCTGAAGAGTCATCAAAATGATAATAATACAGCTTTTGTGCACTTTCATAGGCTGCACAACAACATTGTAGCAACAACAGAAGTTATAAAACAAAAAGGAAACCATAGGTACCCAGCACGGAGGGTCACTGCCGCCAGACCAGCTGCCCCTCCCCCAGGCCAACTGCCTGAGCTGTGGGGGTGGGTCTTTCCTCTCATGCCCCAGCCCCTGCCTCAGAGATAAAGGAGAGGGGAGTGGGCCAAGAAGAGGTCCAACTGGTATCTGAGAATGGTTTGAAAGGCACTGGAGGGAGGCCAGGGACAGGGCCAGCTGGGTCCAGGGAGCCTCCTGTGTTCATCCTCCCAGGATTCCAAGCATCTCGTTGACTTGCTGAGCCACCTGGGACAAGTCCCGCCAGCTGGCTCAGACGCTCCAGACGTTGTAATCCCTTCTCTGGGTTGCTCAAAGAGCAGGTGTTGGCACCAGGGGCCTGGGTCCCAGCAAAGCCCTGTAGCTCAGCACGCCCCGAGAGTGAGTAACACTGGCATTCCTGCAATTCCAAGGTGGGAAGAGAGCCAGTGTGGGGAGGCTCCGTGTCCCTTGGAGCCCCTGAAAAGCTCCTGGCATCCCCAGGGAGAAACACATCATCCCCAGCCCTGCGGGCCTCCATGGCTTCTTCTGAACCGCTGTCATCTGGCAGCTCTGCAGCGGCAGACACACAGTGTGGACAGGTTTTAAACAAGCAGGGGAGGGAGTCCCAGAGAGGGTCCCCTCAGACAGGGCTGGGGTAGCAGCATCCGAGCAGCCAGGGGCCAGATGGGGGACATGGAGAAGGCCCTGGATTTGGTGGAGAGGCAAGGACTGGGTGGGCAACTGCAGGGGAGGTGCCAAGGCTCCTCTAGTGTATCAGGACTTTGGGAAGTTGGCAGGGATGGCGGAGGTGGGTGTGCCCCGGATCCTCCATCTGTGTGCTGGGCTATGAGGGAGACTGGGATGGACAATCTCTTTCTTGCCCTCAAAGAACCCCAGGTCTGAGGGCAGACGGGTCCTCTGTAAAGGGCAGGGACAGGCTCAGGAAGGAGGGCTGCTCTCCAGGAGCTGGGAGGCAGAGTGGGCCTCCTGTGTTAGAAGAACCTCCAGCTGTCCTCAGAACCTCAATCTCCCTCTAGGCTTAGAGGTCTGGACTGAGTGCTCTGCCCTTGGGAGTTCAGCTTCCAGCGCTGGTGACAAGGAGAAAGGGACAGTTTGGGACGGGTTGAGGAGGCACCTCGGTTGTCAGCAGGCGCCCAGAGTGGAGGCCCTCGAGGGACCCCAGGTACTGCCCAGAGCAGTGTTGAGCAGGCTTCATGCGCTCCCACAGGCCTGGCTCAGGGGCCATGCTCTGTCCAGCACCTTCTCCGGCATCCCTGGCATCTCTGGGGGTGCAGGGGAATCCTCTGCGCTAGAGCGTGGGTGAGTTCCAGATCCTTGTGGATGGAGTGTCCACCGTGTGCCGGGCCTGGAGTGGAGCTTGGACTCTTTCTTATTGACTCCCCAGAAGCTTGGGAGCCCTGGGCTCTAGTCTCTGTACAGGAAGGGGGATCGGGGCTGGCACAGATTGGGAGGGATGTTGAAGCTGCCCTTTCACAAAGCACTTTTGATAAGATTGAGTAAAGGCGACTATCCCTATCGAAGACTGCTGGGGAGGAGGGATTTGTGGGATTAGAAGAGCTGAAAGTCCTCCTTCCCCACACGGCTGTGCCCTGAATGAGAAGAGCCAAGCCCTGTGCTAAGGGACCTCCTTGTATTCTTTCATTTTATCATCCTATCAGCAGCAGAAAAGCACATGTATCCTTCCCATTTGGTAGAGCAAACAGCTCAGAGAGGGTTAGTGATTTTTTTTTTTTTTTTTTTTTTTGAGACGGAGTTTTGCTCTTGTTACCCAGGCTGGAGTGCAATGGCGCGATCTCAGCTCACCACAACCTCCGCCTTCTGGGCTCAGGCAATTCTCCTGCCTCAGCCTCCTGAGTAGTTGGGATTACAGGCACGCGCCACCATGCCCAGCTAATTTTTTGTATTTTTAGTAGAGACGTGGTTTCATCATGTTGACCAGGATGGTCTCGATCTCTTGACCTTGTGATCCACCCACCTCGGCCTCCCAAAGTTGATTTTCTTAGAGTCACACAGCTGGTAAAAGGTGTGGCCCACACTGCATCTTGGGGACCTAGATAACATTGTGCAGTCTGGTCTCCCAGGTGTGACCCCTTCAGGTCTGGCCAGCCCCTGCCTCCCTTCCATCTAACTGCAGACCCTGGCAGCCCCTCTGAGGAGCTCTGGGAGTCTTGTACACAGGAATCAAGGTTCACTCTGGAGCCCTCATAGGCTCCCAGGTCTCTATGAGTTCCCCAAAAGTTTGAGGTCCTGAGCTCTGGTCCCCAGGCTGAGCTCTGAGCTGCCCCACTGGCTATACTCTCAGGAGTGGCTGCTCGAAGCCGGGCCCCAGAGCACTGGAATCCGACCTTCACATAAATGCAGCCTTGTGCTGGGCCCTGAAGACACATTACTTTTTACTTTCTAGGCCTTTCTAGATGGAGCACAAAGCCCAGCTGGAGAAGGGTAGCAGCATCGAGGCCACAGAGAAGGGAGGGCACGGGGCAAGCACCTGTACCTGCTGAGGCGAGACGGCTGGAGAAGCAGGGCTGGCTTCACACCCCTCCTAGGAAACTCCACACCCCCTGCGGAGCTTTTGTGGTTCGGAAGCTAGGTGCTCAGCTCCACTGGTCTCCAGCCCAGTGAAGCCCTTTGCGAGTCAAGGCATTTGCTGGGCCTCCCGCCGTTTGTCACTCCCACCCTTCCCAAATGTCACAGGGGGTGGTGTTTCAGGCTGGAGCTATGAGCTAGGGAGCCAGAAAGAGGCCCCATATGACCCTTGTCCTCAAGAAGCTCACAGTCTGAGGCTGGGTAGCAGGAGGAGGTCACTGGGACAGTGGGAGGCCAAGGACCTGCCTGTCCCCGCAGCCTCTGATGGGGGTGGGGGTGGGGGCTGGCAGGAAAGACTTTCGAAGGGTGTAAATGAGTGCAGGTAATTCCTTCTCTGTGATATGGAAACAGGTGGTAATCCCAGCCCTGCCTGCCAAAACTAGCAAAATCTCTGGGGGTCCTTAGAGAAACGCTTTCCACAGGGGCTAAGGCACCTGCCCAACCTCTGCCTGGACAGCCTCAGACACTGCCTGGGTGTCCCTGCCTAGGACCCTGCCATGTGGGGCAAGTCTGGGGCAGGTCGGCCCGGGGCCCCTGGCTGGGATGCCCGAGTTCTTACCCAGATCTGGCTCAGACCTGGCTTCTCTCTAGCGGATGGAGACCCAGCCTGAGGTCTCCTATGCATCTCCTGAGCACGGTCACCTTTACAAAGGGAGGCAAAGCCTGTCTTGGATCTCTTACCCCAGTGGTCCAGGCCTCCAGGCCTGGACAAGTGGAATCCTGGAGGCAGGATTAAAAAGCTAAAACAATTCCCATGGCGGGGCATGTAGAGAACATCTTATCCATCTCAATTGTAATTCAGATGGGGAAACTGAGGCCTGGGGAGACCAGGGATCGGCCCAGGGTCACACTGCTCTGGTGGCCAGAACTCAGAGCTCTTGAGTCCCCATGGAGAAGGCTGAGAGTGGCAGCAGCAGGGTCCTCTCCGCTCGGGCACAGAGGTACTACCAGACAGGCCCTTCTGTCCTAGGTTTTGCCCTTGTCTCTCATATTCTGAGGCTAATGTGGCCTCTTCCTTTTCTGTTTCCCCAAGAGTACCTTGCATTGGGCTGGCCCTCAGTATGGGGTTCTGTGTGGAGAGAGGGGCCCTTCTGGGGCTGGTCCCTGCCTGGGCTTTGGGGTCGGTGCCCTGCAGGACCGTTCTCAGAGGTCTGTCCCAGGCCTGACAACCACCTCTTCCTCCATCTGCACAATCGGCCCCTTTCCTGTAGCCTTTCCCACAGACCACAGAAAACAGGCCCAGCCTCCCGCTCCCTGCTCTCGTGTTTTTCTCCCTCCCAGCTAATTGAGTGGCTGCCTCAGCTCTTTAGACGCCTTTATTCCAGAACCCCAGAGAACACAGCTCCCTGCCTGCCCAGTAGCCCCAGCATAAAGGGTGGATTGATAAGATACAAGCCAGGGTCAGGCCAAGACAAGTGGCAGAGGGAGGAAACAGGAGAGGGAAGGGGAGGCAGCAGGGAGTGCCAGCCTTGCCTGGGAAAGCCTACCTCCAGCTCTCTGCTGACTTGGCGCTTGGTGGGCGGGCCGTGCGCTGGTGGTGCTGCATTGGCAGCAGGCTGGGAGCTTGCTGGCTTCTCCACTGCGCTCTACATAGTCACTGGTTGCCTTTCAGAGTCAGCTCCCACTGGGATCTGGGTGCCTTGCTGGGCAACAGAGACCTTGATTGTGTCCTGGCAGTTATTGCAGCAGGGATCTTAGTTTGGGCATGGGACAGAGCGGATGGTCATGCCCTGTTGATGGCGCACAGAGGGGAGATGGGAGCTAATTTAAGGAGTGGCAACTCATCCTGATTTCCCGAGTGTCCCCTACCCACGGGAAAGAGGCAGAGAGGCAGGCTGAGCGGTGCCACAGCAGACCTGGGCCACTCACATCCCTCCCTCATGCTTGGTTCTGAGCTGCCCAGCAGGTGGCGGAGTCAGGGGACTGGGCACACTCTCCTCCACCCTGACACCATCCAGGAGAGAGTAGACTTTGGACTCCCAAGCTTCCATTCACTGAACACAAGGCAGCTGCCAGGACTGACTGAGGTGTAGTCCCAACTCTGCCCCTAACTCTGCTATGACCTGGGCCATCCCTGACCCCTCTGGGACTCAGTTATCTCATCTGTAAAAGTGCCGTCTACCTCTGATATGTTGTGTGTGGAAACTCCCTGCCCCCACTTCCCAAGATGACCTGTCTGGCTGAGGTCTCCGCCTGTGTTCCTGATGCAGCGAGAGGCATCATATGCTTCATTTGATTTATTCTTTCAGCAAACACTTACTGCAAGTTCAGTGCTTGCACCAGAAGCTCAGAGTCTAGATCCAAAGGCTAGAGAGAGATGCTTGAACACTCGCAATGTGCTAAGCCTTTTAAGAATGTTGTGTTGACACAGATCTTCTCAGTGTGGTCTGTGCATTTCTGTATGCACTTTCTTTGTCCTCTTTTCACTCAGTGTTATACTGCGAACATTTCCGTATGTCATTAAAAATTCTTTTAGTACTTCATTTTAATGGCTGCATAGGAACGCATGATATGGCTCTCCCATAATGAACGGAATAGGAGACTAGGCCCCCGTGGACATTCAGCTTGTTTCCAATGGCGTTGCTAATAGACACAGAGCTGTGCAGATATCCATCTCCACATTCTTGCAGGACATGCCTCTGATTGCTTCCCTTGAGTAACTTCCTAAAAGTATGATTGCTAAGTGCAAGCATATTCTTGTTTTAAGCCCTAGGATATATCTTGTCAATTACCCCAAGAAAGTTGTAATCCATTCATGTTCTGCACTGCACTGTGCCTTCCAAACATTGGATATTGTCTGTCTGCCTGATTGTGTCTTTGCTGCTTCAGGTTATTTCCTTTTAGGAGGTGAGTTCTTGTGGCTTCAGGAGATGGGCGTTACCACGAGGAAAGGCAGGGAAAAAAAGAAGCTTAGAAAGAGGCCAGTAGGGAATGGGGGGATATGGACCTTCATGGCTCCCTGCTCAGGTGACAGCCTGCATTGCTGCAATTCACCTCCTCCCTGCCCTGCTGCTACCGCCTGCTTCCATGCACCCCACTCACTATGCTGTGACTTCTACCACCCCCTTAACTCAGCTTAGCCATCCTGATCTCCCCAGAGGTGGGAACACATGGACATGAGAAGAGGGGGAGGATTGCAGACCCCAGGCTAGGAGACGTGTCTGTCTTCCCTTCTTTCAGCTCTCAAGGGCCGGAGTGAGCTTGGCAGCTGGCACCCAAGGCTGAGGCCACTGAGCAGGGCAGGCCCTACCTGGGTCTCTTGGGGGTGCAGGATGGGAAAGCGGCCTGCATGCCCCACTTGGGCAGATGCCTGCTCTGTGAGCCCATCTCTCTCTGCGCCTAAGCAGCAATGTGTCCTGCCTCCTCATCAACCACCCTGGGGACAAGGGTGAGGTGGGAGACATGAAGCCTGGGTCCTCTAGACACACAGTCAATGGGTCCCCAGCCCTCCTGGGACTGGGTTGGGGCAGAGGTCAGCTCATTCTTCCCACTGGCTCAGGGCCAGGCTGCTGCTGGTAGCCAGGATGCAGAGAGGAGGGAACCTGACTTCCAGGGCTCCAGGCTGGTGGGAGAGGCAGCCCCAACCATGACTCCATCCTACATTAGGCTCGAGGATGGGGGTCTTCAGTGAAGAGGCAGCACGTGGTCCTTGAAGGGCAGTAAAGTGTCAACATGTGATGAAGGGAAGGGCATGGTAGGCAGAGTCACAGCACAGGCAAAGGCACAGAGGCAAGAGCCAAAGGGAACTGGGATCAGTTCAGGTTGGCTGTAAGGTGTGTATGTGTGGAGGCTGGGAAATGTCAGCGAGCCCCTGAGGAGGGCCTGCTTCAGAAGCCATGGTATAGACGTCTCTGTGTGGTCAATGAGAGTCGTTGGAGGCTTTTGAGCAGGGCAGATCTGGGTTTAGCAAGGTCACTCTGGGAGCCTCGGGAATGTGAGAAAAGGCCGGTGGCTGGAGGTCATGGCTGCTCAAGGTCACCCAGCCTGAGCCCGGCACAGAACTTGGCTAGAGGCATGATAGTTCTTTCCCAGAGGAGATGGGAGATGTGGTGCCGGGGTCTTCCTTGAAGTCTGCCCTGAGAGGCAGGACCCCTCATGGGAACAGAATGGACTTGGGTATGGAACTGTGGGGGCTTGGATGCCAGCTCTGCCACTCAACTCTTCAGCTGGGAGGTGGCAGTGGTGATGGGCAAAGAATGATATGGTGCACGGCAGGGGCTCAGTAAGCAGTAAGCAAGAGATGATTGGAGCCTCAGTGAGAGCAGGGGCCGCCCCTTCCCACCAGGGTCTCCTCTTCCGGCAGGTCTAGGGGCTCAGACAGGTCCCGCTGGCTCAGCTGAGCTTGTACAGAGAAAAGGCTAGGCCATGCAGCTGGCCAGGAGGTCTAGTCACCCTTGGGGGTCATCCAGGTCGAGGGCTCTTGTCCCTGTCATCAAACAGCTGGGCTAATAAGGAGACTGACCTTGCAGACCTACAAACCTTCCTTCCCTTCCCATGCCTCCTCCCCTCCTTCCAAGAAGGATGTGAGATGACCTGACACAAAAGTGCAGGCTCCGTGAGAGAGGAAACAGGAGAGAAGACAGAACCGTGCAGCTAACGGGAGAGGAGACATTAGGTGAAGAATTCTGTCCAAAATGTCCATCCAGATTTTAAACACTCTTTTCTCTTGATCCTTCTAATAATCTAAGCCTAGAAGGAGGGCTGGAGGCTGGATAGCACGTAGAGAGTGGCAAGTAGCTTGTGCATGGGGAGTGACAGCACGCAGCCACACAGCACGCACGAGATGCAGCAGCATGTTAATATCGCCAATGTTAAAGATGGATGATTTGGCCAATGCTAGCTTTGATTTGATTCATATGATTTTAAACATATACTTGGCTGGACAGGTAATGCTGTGGCTCACACCTGTAATCCCAGTACTTTGGGAGGCCAAGGTAGGAGGATTGCTTGAGACAAGGAGTTTAAGACCAGCCTGAGCAACATAGCAAGACCTTGTCTTTACTA